TGCTTATTCCTTTCTTCTCGCTTTCCTTTACTTGGGTCCTTCCTTTTGCTGACAATCATACATTCTGTCTTCTTACAATTGATCTTAGTATTTTCTTCTTGTTCGTATAAGCACAAAAAGATCTCCAGAAAATTCTACAAAGAAAAGAAATACTTACAAATATAAAAGTGAAAATAAGCAAAGAAACAGGCGAAAAACGAACCAATCAACTTCCGTAGTGTTAATCACATTATGCATGCCGCCATGATGTCTTCCAGAAATATGTTCAAATTCTTGTCGGGAATTTTTCACGGCTTGGGTTAGGATTTGTTTGTGTTCTTACACATCAGTGGAAATTCTGGCGTGAAGCGAATGTCGATTAGACCCAGCAAATGTTTTCAATTTTGCAGACAATAGAAAATATCTATACACCCCACTGAATGCTTTTAACAGTATCGTCCACTCTTTACTCGCTAAATTTTCTCACTGAATTTTCTCTATTTCTGTTTATTAAGCGGACATACAATTAGGAACAGATTCTTTCTGATAATACGTTAGCGCCTGAAATATACCGTTGTTCTTTATTAAAATATCACTTGTATAATTCTAATATCGCCAATATTACAAATTTCAAGGTTTGTAATTGGGCGAAGAAAAACGTTCATATGGAACTTGTTGGATTACCACCTCCTGATGATAAATTCTCATTGCGGCAAGATTTTGGAATTATCACCCACTGACGATATTTACAGTCGGCGCGAGATTTAAAAGACTTGGTCTCTTTCTCGGTAATTTTAATAGCGAAAAAAAAAACGTATTCTTTTCGCTCCTGGAAAATGTGAGTAATCAACTACCGACACTTAAGATTACTTTGAACTTTTCCTATTTCATTTCATTTCTCATCTTTTCTTTTGTAAAATCTCCTGGTAATATATTTGTTAATATTTCTTTGTTCAAATACTATAGTCTTATTATTCCTTTGGATTTATGAGAGTCAACCAAAATTGTTAGCGGGTCAAATGTCTCATGAAAATATCGGTCCGTTATGTGCCATGCGTGATACACGCTTAGGCGATCATGTATCTTTCGATACATGACTAACGAGGCAGATTTTTTCCTGCATTAGGTTGTCATTTTTTTCTGCGGTAGACCAGTTTCTATCCAAGGCTATAGAACCTGGTCTCTCCTGCTATTTACCCATAGCTGGAGGAGAGAAGAAGAGGATTCATACCTTTCCCAAGAGTATTATTTTCCTGTTAATACCCCTGGGAAAGGTTATTAGCAGGAAAATATAATTTCTCATGAAAAGGAGATATAGCCGCAACTAACTACACGGCCGACGTTAATATCGACAGAAGATAATGTTTAAAGACTAGTGTCAGTAGCGGACTAGCCACTGTGTCAGCTTGCCAGATGGCAAGTGTGCTCCTAATTGATTAGCCTCTAAAAATGCAATAAAGAAACAAGCACAAACAACTATTTTAGTAATAAAAAGGAATAAGAACTTTATATATAAAGTCATTTGCAAACGATCAGTTACTTAAGTCCAAAGTCAGAGGACATCTTCAAAGATAAGATCATAAAAGCAAGTTTAAGAAATTTGATATCTGAGGAGAATTTTGAATCATATATTTTGCTATCCAGGAAAAGGAATTGTTAGACAAATTGGATGCAAAAGCAATTATTTGCAGATTCGAACAATCCTCTGGTGAACACAAACAATTGCTCTTAATATAGTGGACTGGTTGCAATGCTCTATTGTGCTTTTGAACTATGTGTGAATTGCAGAGTAAACTATTTAAAAATGTCAAAATGTAAGTAATTACACTTTATAATCAGTAATAGTAATTATAAAAATGTAAGTAATTATACTTTAAATTTTGAAAAAATATAAAATTCCAATTATGTGGTCTTTTATTTATATTTGTTATATATACTATCATTAATATGTATAGTAAATGTACATTGTAATTACTAATAAATACATATTTTATCAACAAAAATTTTAATTATACCCTTTTTTCCTTAATTATTTTTATGAAAATCGTATTTATTTCTTATGAAAATTATATAATAGCATTGTAGTTGTCTCCCTTGTCGCCCGAGAACCGATGTTTTTACAATAATTCTGTCGGAGTTAGCTCCTCCTTTAGTTCGTTAACCCTTCAACAGGGGTCTCTCTTCCCTGGCTATAAATACTCGCTGACCCTTCTTTCTCTTTTTTCCCTCAGGCCTTTGGGCCGCCACCTTGAGGTAAATCTCTTTTCCTCAGGCTTCGGCCTTATACCACTTCGCAGATGTGAACGCTCACAGATACAGCGTTTCCCAAATGCTGGGAACACGCTAAGAACAATACACGTACGTACGAAAACTCACCACAACACAACACACACATAATATTCACCACACGCACTCTGTCCATGTAATTGTCCATGTAACTTGTAACTTGTTATTAATACATATATTTGTTTACATATATTTATCGGTCTTGTGTTTGTTTTTCTTTGCCTTCTTTGGACTTAGTTAAAGTCCAACATTCACATGTAGTTGGACCGGCTAGCAGGAAATTTCTACCCACGTGTATTCACTCAAAGTATCTACTCAACATCGCCGACACGGTCCGCTACAATTCCACGAGTGACTAATGTAGCAAAGGTAGGAACACATTAAAAAGAGGCACACATTTGTATTTTCTCGAGATTCGGTGGGTTAAACTTTCTCTAGCCAATAACTGATGTAGTCATTGCCTAGTTTCAGGAGTAGTTTTATTATAGGAACCTCAGTTTTATTATAGGAGCCTCAGTTTTATTATAGGAGCCTCAGTTTTATCAAATCAGATATTCGGATCAACCAAATAATAAGATCTATTGTGACATTTGGATTAAATTCACTTTTTGCCGTAAAATAATTGTTGAGGCTGTAGTCATCAAGAGCCGCCGGATTCTTTAATAAATGTTACTAGGTTACTAGGACTCATCTCTTCACTGTCAGTGTCTAGCAATCCGTCATTGGGGACCCTGTAAAGGGACAGACGGACGGACGGACGTCGCTGACAGCATTAACTCAGATCTGGGCCCGTTGCAACCATTACACCATCAAGGCTTCTAATTTTCTCATACACTTATTTGATCAAAAGAAGGACAAATATTTACCAAACTTTGCTTTGTTTGGCTCAGAAGTGTCAGGTTGCTTTCGCCACCTGCATTTTCTAAGTGAGCAGACAATTTGATGATTTAGTTGATATGATATTCAACATTTTTACACCTCTTTATCTGTCTATATTTCTGAGATGTGGTATTTAACTATTCATACTATTTACATTTTTCGGACTGTTGTCCTAATCTTTATTGTGATATTTACGACGTTTCGCACGTTGTACGCCCCGCCCTTCTTCAGGTCATATATCAGGTCATCCCATAAGTTCTGTCCGAATTTTAATTTTTTGTTAAAATGAACGAAATTTAAAGAGTATTTTATAATGTCTAATGGAGCTGAACATTATTTTAATGTTTAGATTCATTTAAACTGATCAAATTTTATTTCAGAGAACAATAAAATTAAATTTTGTTTGATTAAAACCCTGCTAACATGGAAGTACCCAAGAATCATTTGAGGCACATAATGCTTTATGAGTTCAAGAAAGGAAACTCAGCAGCCGAAGCGGCTAGAAACATTCACTCAGTTTATGGAGAGGAATGTGTGAATGAAAGAACTTGCAGAAGATAGTTTGCAAAATTCAGAGGTGGAGATTTCACCCTTGAAGATGAAGATCGAACCGGACGTGCAGTTGAGTTTTGATGAAGAGCTTCTTGAAGCAGCCCTTGAAGAAAATCCTGCTTTATCAGTTGAGGAATTGGCAGTGGTTCTCAGTTCAAACCATACAACTGTTCATCGTCATCTTCAACAACTTGGAAAAGTTCCTAAACTTGGAAAATGGGTGCCTCATGAATTGTCTGAAAACAACCTCAAATCTCGAGTTGACATCTGCTCTTCTCTCCATTCTCGCCAACTTGTTTCACCTTTTTTGGATAGACTTGTGACTGGCGACGAAAAATGGATCTTTTATCGAAATGTTAAGCGTCGTAGACAGTGGCTTGGTAAAGGGGAAGGACCCCAGCCACAGCCGAGAAGGGGACTTCATGGGCAATCTGATGGGATCGCCAAGGAATAATCCACTTTGAATTCTTACCACCTAATGCAACAATTAATGCTCAAATATACTTCAGCAATTAGAGTGTTTGAACCAAGCTTTGAGGAAAAAAAGACCTTCTCTAGTGAATCGAAAAGGGGTGATGTTTCATCAGGACAATGTGCCACCCCACACAGCAAGAATCACGTCACAAAAGATCGAAGAACTTGGTTGGGAGAAAATTCCTCATCCACATTATTCTCCCGATCTTGCTTCTTCAGACTACCATTTGTTTCGTAGCTTACAGAATCATTTGGAAGAAACAGTTTTTGTAACACAGGAAGAGGTTAAAACTGACATTTGTGAGTTCTTCGAAGTAATGGAATTAGTAAGCTTGTTAATAGATGGAAGAAAGTCATAGATAATCAGGGAAAATACATTGTTGATTGAATCTGTAATTAAATGTAACATTTGGTCACTTGTTTTTTTTATTCAAAATTCGGACAGAACTTATGGGATGACCTGATACATTGGAATTTCGGACCAAACTCATTATTTAGTCCCCGGGGTATAATATTCTACTTCCATGTGCCATGCCTTTTCTGGATATCTAAGTTTCAACTGTTTCACTTTAGTAACTCAAAACAGAGACACCCAGAAAAGGTATGGCACGTGTAACTAGAATATTCTACTCCAGTGAATGAAATAAAGGGTTCAGTTCGAAATTCCAATCACGTGAAGAAAGCTGAAGCTTACAACGGCCGAAACGTCGTGAATATGAAAATAAAGATGAGGACAACAGTCCAAACAATGTAAATAGTTATCAACTCTTTGTTGGTCATTTAAAGTTATTTAAACTTTTTGTTGGTTATTTAAATATTTTGAGGTCGGTTACAGTACCCCGTGTTCCCAAGTGTTTACCCATCTAGGTACTAACCAGGCTCGACGCTGCTTAACTACAGTGATCGAACGAAAAGCAGTATTTTCAGCATGAATTTACCGTAGGCTTGATGATTTAGTAAGAACCGGTACTTTCAACGTGACTTGACTGTAAACCTCGACGGACAAGATAGTCATAAAGCAGGCCATCACTTTGCTGTGATGAGAAGTAGAGTGGTATTAGAAGCAGATAAATGGCTCTTTTTTCTGGCTTAAAAAAACAGTTTTGATTTTTTTTCAGGTCTTTTTATAAACAAGTTTTCTCTCCATTTATGATCATTGTACAATATTTTATTTTTTTGTTAACCAGAGGGAAATGCAATAAAAATATAGAATCCCCTGATAGAAACATGATAGATAGCTACAAGCAGGAGGTAACATTTAAAAGCACTCTGCCAATTAAACCAATAAAAAAAAAACATAACAAAAAGAAAAGTGCTTCCTAGTTACAAATGAGCCAAGCCATCGCTAACTTCCCGCGAGAAAAAAAGGGGTAAGTAATCCGTCTGCTGCTTTGAAAATTCTATCTGTGTTATTTTTTCCCATTTCTTTTTCGTTCCCAAGTTAAGATTTCGATCAATCAGATTTGCTGAGCGGTGATGATTTGTTACAGTTATCTCCCCTTGTGAGGGGAGATTTCATTTTGTTTCAAGCCGGTGGCAACTTGAGTTTTTCCTTTTTTTCATTGACACGTTACTAACTCAGTTGGGCCGTTCATTTTTCCCCTTACCATTTCTCTTGGAAACGTGATGTTGTTTGCAAGATTTGCAATTCTCATCACTCTTTTATGGAATGCTACTCTCGCCACCAACATCTATTCGTTACTTGAGTAATTTAGAAGAGTTTTGCAGACAATAGTCCTAAGGGACGAACATTTTATAAGCCATTATCACCCATCAAAAGTGTTCAGAATACATATGGCTTCAAACGTACATATCATCTGATATTGTCTTTATTCAATATATTCATATCAGCAATGTCTTTTTCTTCTTTTTGAATAAATTATATAATAAACCAATGAATCAAGTTCTTTGAATATTTTAAAGATGTATTCAAGAATCTTTCAAGGTACTGATCACTAAAACGCTGCCATACGATTCAATGTAAGCAGCTTTGTTTACTCCATCAAACCGGTTCATTACACTTTGGAGACGATATTAATTGGGTTGAGCCACCTTTAATGCAATACCGAATACATGAAACACCTCGAAAGCATCTCGTGGTTTACGACCGCAAACATTTAAACACTTCTTCCCTTATGATCACCGAAGTTAAGTAACGTCGAGCCTGGTCAGTACCTAGGTGGGTAACAGGTGCTGTAAGCTTGGATATGCAAGTAAGCCCGTCTTCCCCAAGAACGTGCAGCCATACAATTCAGACCCTATCTCACGTAGATATCTTCAGCTTGGGATGGCTGTGGGGTCAGGTTGTTTACATACAGTTTAAAACTGACCAAGGAGATTGTCAATCGTCTAGAGTTGCTGGTAAGTGTTGTGTTTCTTACTGACAAGAAAAAGAGGGTTGCCTTTTCTCTTTATTCAGTAAGCCGTGGTATTTTCTTTGACAACTGGACTGAAGAAAAGAAAGTCGTGCTCATGTCGGAAGAAAGAGAAGATCTGATCTTGGTTGAAAATGATAGTTTTAATAATAGTAAATAAAAATAGGCTATTTTAAACTTTGTAAATATTCTAACATCTCTGAATGGGGTAGCGATTTGGAACCAAAGTATGTATTTTCAAACTTTTATCAGAGAAGTGAAGATCGAGTTAAGTTCAGGCGGGTGTGAATTGCGTGTGTGTTGATCAGCCAGTTTACGATGTATCTCTCTTGTCGATTCTCCGGACCGATACGCGGCTGTCTCTTTCTAGCGTCCGCCTGTTATAATTTTGGGATACATTAGACTACTAGTGATCCAACCCAAATGACTTGACTCACTTTATAGTTCACCAATAGAAGGTTAACCAATCAGAAGACGTAAAATATTCAATCCGTCGTGTATAAAGGCGGCCATTTTGTTTACTCTCTCCGAATGTCCAGTGCCAACTTGTCAGGCGAAAGAACAGAAGGAAGAACTACTGATCTACGCTTCCCTACTGTCTTCGAAATATTCACTGCTAACCTCTGGATTCTATACTCAAAGACGACCGTCATCATGAACACCGCCCACATGCTGTATATACCCACGTGTTTTCTCACCATTCTTTGATCACAAGAGGGGTCAAAAAGGGTAATTTCCTCGTGTTTGTTTTTAACTTATCCACACTTTAAATATCGCCAACGTTCAAGGCCGTTTGCATTCAAAATGACAACCTTACATATTCATCTGATAAGCCTTTAAGTGAATATAGACAAAATAATTGTTGTCACCTGTCAAAATTTGCAGCCCTTTGAACAACAGATGTTTTCACAATCAAATTTCCTGGGAAAATTTAATTTCACCAAAAGATACAAACTTATAAATTTTGTTCCACTCGCTACCACCAGAAATATAAAATACACTTCCCTAACAAAGACGTTACCTTGTTACACGGGTGGGGTAGTGGATACTTGGAATCATTAATCTGAAAGGTGAGTTCCAATTCCAGTTGGGTTCGTTATATTCACTTACAAACAAATAGCCTTGGGAAAGGTATAAATCCATCTCTTCTCCCTCCAACTATGGGTTAATTAGTAGGACTTATATCCCTAAACCATTATTATTTACAAAAAGTTCTTACAATCTAAAAATATTTTCTGGTGTTAACTAACGTACAAATGTTGATAAGGCGTCAAAATCAAATCAGTCAATAAAACATTTAACAGCACCTTGGATGCATCAAGTGGAAAAAATGACACGATAATTAGCAAATTATGGCGACACAACATCTTACCCATAATAATAAAAAAGGGATGTACTAGAAACAAAGGCTTGAGAAGATGACTTCTCTTCGTGATTATTTTCAACCAATCTGAAGGACGGAATTTTAATCCTGAAACAACTTTGAAAAGTAGTGAGTTGAACCAGCAGTTTAATTAATTCACCACAGTTTTATTCATGGGTGAGTTGTCAGGAGAGATGTGTTACTTTTGCACAGAGCTGAGTATAGGGGACGCGAGATTCTGTGATACTCCGTTATCCAGGACGTATACAAAGGCTTTAAAGCGGATAATTTTGAACATGTTTATCTGAAACAAATCCACCAAGATTTCCTTCAAAATACGAACTCACGTTCTTCAATTATAATTCTACAGGGCTGTATCAACTTATGAAAGTTTTCTACAAACGGCAGCCATTCAGCAACTCTTTTCATTCAACAAACGGACGCCTTCGCTACTGTATCGACATATCAACCTCTGAAGAGCTAATAAAATTCGACGATTTTGCATGTTCTCTTCAATGAAACGGCTGAGAATTTAGTGAACTTTATACTCTTTACTACGGGATTTTATAACAAATGCGACTATAATTATTTATTTTAGTCTAACGGCTTGAATATTCGTGAAATCTTATTGCAAAAATATACGTTCTCTGATAAGATTCGAACCTGTTTACCCAATGGCAGAAGAAATCGTCGTTACATCCGACTTGCTTTAGACCGACTCCACCACAAAGTGCGTCGATGATCAAGAAAGTTGAATAATGTCTTATAAACGCAAATCTTTCCCAGACTCTCGGCAATAAAAAAATATACTGTTTAATAAAATATTGGTAGCCACTAAAAATAACATTTAAGTAATAAAGCTACTGTAAGTCCCCAGTTTTTTTAATAAATTCTAATTAGTTTCATTTCTCGAGAAGATATTTTGAACCAGTTTCTACGCGTCTCTTTCTTTTCACATTAATTATTGTAAATAAAGAATTTCTTTCTTTTTCAATTTCAGACGAAGATTCCATTTTTATTGCGTACTAAATATCTGTCTTGATATTTTTTTTTGGTATATTGGAAAATCCTCATAATCAGGCCATGAGAGATAACTCTGTAAACAGCTTCTGTCGACAGTCTGTTAAATGAAAGAATAGGATTGATGGTAAGATTGAATGTTGACGTAAACCAAACCAGGAGAGAAAGGAAGATTTACTAGCAGACAGCCTTAATGTTGATAAGAGTTGGCAAATCGGTTTGGCTGCGAATTCCAAGGGTTTCTGCGCCTAATTATGCTATTGCTATGGAATCGTCAACTGCAGTAAACTTCAGAATTGGATGTTATTACTACCGGCTAAACAAGAAAGCTGTGCGCCATCTTTGTTTGGAGAATCCTACAGTACTTGCATAAATTTTCTCGTTTAAGCTTAGAGTTTGTCGCTTCTCCATTAAAGAAGATCATTCATCATTCGACTGTGATTTGTATTCTGGATGTTGAAATTCAAACGTTTCCTTTTGTCTTTTTTTTTACTTATTGTGTTTTTATAGTTTAAATACTACTCTCATATATATTTGAAAGAGTTACAAATTCTCTCGGATTTTGTCTTAGTAAAAGGTAACGATTCTAAGAGTATTATAGGAAGGCATAGAGATTATTGATTTGAAATCAGTGAACTATATTCAAATCCCAACCCAGCCTGTTCTGTTTCCTTTCATACATTTCCATGGGAAAGACATGGATGCATCACTTCTATGCTCTCAGCTACGCGTTAAATTATAGAATAAACTAAGTCATCTAACATTATATGGCAACCAGAGTATGACTGGGTAAATATAGGTAGGTATACAAGCGAGCGATCGTATACAAATACATAGAAATACTCAATCCTCAATGTTAAGTAACAGGGCTATTTAATATATATATATATATATATATATATATATATATATATATATATATATATATATATATATATATATATATATATATATACATAATATCTTACATTAATTGCACAACTCCGAGTTTTATGCCAAAGCTATTTTCAAGTGCTGGAATATTTATTTTTTATTTATATTCTGGGTTGACACCGGTTTATTTTAAATTTTCTGTTTCTCGCGAGATATATTATTGTTGGGATGGAATATTATCGTAGTTAGAATATTTAAATAAATTGTAGTTTAATTTTGAATTTAATCCCAGATGAACATTTTAGATTGAA